AGTGGAGAGAAAATGTTTTGAGAATGATGTACAAATGCACTTTACACAATTGATGTGTGTATGGATTGCGATAACATTTGTATGAGCCCCTAATACACTAAAATGTTTAAAAAAACAAACAAACAAACAAAATTATCTTCAGCAAAGTATAAAAAAAAAAGACATTTACGTTCACCAACATTTTAACACATCTTTCTGTTTGAGCTTGATAATGATAACAATTAGTATTTGCACAGCACATTATTGCTGAGATAATGATGAGACTCAGTTCCACCAGCCCCATTTAAATTTGTTTTTAACATACTGCACATACATACCCTTTATTTTAACTTGTTAGCTAGCTGGGAACAAAAACTGTCTTCTATTTTTCCCTTGTTTCTTTTATGTGCTTCTGAATTATTTTATATGCCTCCACTGAATTTTGCATACGGTAGGCACACAGATAAATGCTTTACTGACCAGTGAGCAGAGCCACACTGAGAATTCATGGTGAGATGTTTTTGTCCCTCTATTTTATTTCTCTGGCCTCACCCAAGAACAAACTTTAAAAATTCTAGGAAGATAGAACCTTTATTACTAAAAGGAACATAAATGAAAACATAAATTTAAGGAGCCAATATTATATATTTCCTGAGAACATTTACATCATGTAGCTGTTGTTTCTTGGGCACAATTCCTCTAAGGATTCCATCATTAAAGGCTTGATTTGCTGTAAACTTTCACCAAAAATGCATAATAAATTGAATTTTAAAAAGCCTTCATTATTAACAGCATGATCTGTTACCCAGGTACAGATTATTTTTTCGGATAGAGTGCAGGTAATTGGTTACACATAATGGATACTGATTACCTTCTTGAATGGAAGAAGCTTCTAGGTGCTGAAGTTTAAGGCCAGTGTCTAATCTTTGAGGCTTTGTGTACAGAAATAAATAGCAAAGGACACAGACACTGATGACAAAGGCAAGTAGAACAAGAGCAGCAATTCCAAGTCCAATGAGAGCACCGACGCTGAGGGAAAAGAAGATGAAACATTCAGATGAAACGCTCATACGCAGCTTTACAAATAAGCTAAAGAGGAGTAGTGGAGTAGCTTTACAAATAAGCTAAAGTGGAGTAGTAACTCTTGTTCCCAATCACACTTTAATAGAGAGAACATATGGTTGAAATCTATAGCTCATCTTTTCCTACCATCATATTTGTATATTTTCATAGCAGAATTTTAAATTTATAGATCAATATGAGTATAAAAACCCATGTAAATTCATTTTGCAAGTAAAAAGGTCACATGATTCTTATGAAATTATTCAGAAATATCCATTCAAATAAATGTGTACTAGTAACAGATGAATAGAAAACATATTTGCTTCTGTAAGTGCAGGAAAGCAAATATTAATAAGCTATGTGGAACTGGAGATAAATATGAGATGCCATTTACTGATACACAAAACCATAGCAATCACAAAAGAATGAAGTTTCGATTTAAAGAAAAGTAGTTTTATGTAATTTATATAAAGTTTAGATGTAGTCTGGATTTCCATTTTCTAAGTGGACATTATATCACTGACTTACAACATTTCAAAAAAGGAAGTCTTGTAAGGTTCTCTAAAAATAAAATGTATGTTTGATTTTATCTGATTTTATCATACCATAATAATTCCCTCTGATGTAATTATTTAAACGGCTAACCAATTGAGAAATGATAGTTTTTATGAACCTGTGAACTTAATATCTTCAGATAGGAAAAAAACTTGGAAAAAAGAATTTTCTTGAAAGATCAATTTTCAAATACCCTACTTTTTTGAACAATATGTGTTCATATGTGCAAATATATATAAAATAAGAAGTTAAGCCTGTTAAGAATACTCTTGTTGACTTTCCCATGGTATTTTTCACTATTCTTTAAAATTAATAGCGTGATTAGTTGGAATAAATAAATGGAAATAATAACTGACTGATGATTGATATAAATTGGCATATACATCGCTATCTTTATTATTTGTCATTCTTCATTATCATTCATATAGCATTCATTATCTTCCTGAGTTACCTTTACGCTTCTGGTATTTCCCAAAGATTAGGGCCTTAATTTCTACCGTAAGGGAAGTAAGGAAGAATTTGACCAGTGCTATGAGGCCATGATTTTTAGGGGGAAACTATCATAGTGGTAGACTAAACTCACTCCACTTATCCTTGCTTTTAGGAGTAGAAGCACCCCTACAATTTAGAGATTGTCTATGGTGTGACTATGTGATAATCACCAATTCA